CCAGGATGGTTGCCACTTGTGTTGGCGCCTAGCAACGCCAAATAAAGGGAATTTATGTAATCTTGTACATATTTATGTGCAATGTTTCAGGGGTTGAAGTATCATGACAAAAACAAACATGCTGAGGGGCTAAGCAAATGTTCTCACAGTACTCATCGGACTCGTCAGACAATCATCAAAACATAATTAGTTCATGTCAAGTTGGCGGATACATATATGTAACGGAAGATAAACTTACCAGTTTTACACATTTTTAATATAAAGAAGTAAAAAGGAGTGATTCTCCGTCAAGTTTATTTATATAAATATTTATATATTTATATTTATTTATTCATATTTATATTTTGAGTTTGGCTTATAAAAATATTAAAAATGCATAGCTGAGTTCATGAATCTGCAATGAAAAGGTCATGAAAAATCTTTGGTTGAGGTTGGACACAAAAGACCATTGCATTAATTAAAACATGATGCATGAGAAGGTTCTCTTTCTAGTTTCATGAGAACACATGGAGGCCGTCAATGAACCACCACCAATGACTGCCATCGCACCTTATCAAGCTTGTAGCTAACAGTAAATTATGCTGATTGGTCTGAACTTTAATGGTTTTCCCGATAAACAAGTGCTGGAGCTCAGCAGGATGGATCATCTACTGATTATGATGTCAAGAACATCATAAGGATAAAACTAGCTTTTCACCCAAACTTTTTTCTTTCTTTTTCCTTCCCTAAATTCAACACAATTGCAGCCATTTAAATGGAGGTGATGTTACTGATCCAAAGCCAAACACTTTTTGTCAACAGACAGCATGATAAGGCTAAATACTGCAGTCAGCTTTGAGATTAAACAGCTATTACCAACGATTACCACAGCAGATGCTAAACATTAACAATGAGCGGTACACAGCATCAGTGTGTGTTTTTGTTTGCACGTGCATGTTTTTGTGAGCATAAGTTGCAGTCACAGATGAGAGAAAAAATAGATAATAGGGAAGATAATTAGTGTATAACAATCAGCATATTTAAAGGCACTGACATGAGGTTACGAGCACTGTATAACTGTATATATATATATTCCATCTCTAAATCCAGATAGATAGATAGATAGATAGATAGATAGATAGATAGATAGATAGA